TCGTCCGAGGCAATAGCCTTGAGCCAACCAGTGAGGCACGAGAGTCCGTCATCTCCCCCCGCTCAATCACCGGGAAAGGGGCGTCGCGCACGCACGTCGTTTAGGAGAAGGAACGGAATATTGAAAAACAATGCACGTAAGTAATTACTTTTGTTGTAATATTAATTGTTATGATGCACATTTATTCATGGTTATTGATTTTCAAAACATTTACAACGAATGTTTGATTCATGTTCTTTATTTTATGTATTATTCTATTTCATTTCGTTGCAGTTTTGAAGTTATGGCACGCGGTTCAAAATTAAAACGTGGTTCGGGGCTAGTAGACTAATGTATAACGGGGCTGGTTGACCACCTGGTCAACCAGTCCCAAAATACTTGACCATTCCGAAACCTGAACAGAAAATAAAAGACATGTTTGAAAACGAAAAAGCACTATTTACACAGATACACCAGAAAAAGAAAATCTTATGCAACTTAAGGAAAAACAACAATCTAGTAAGATGCTGATCAAGAAAACAAAGAAACCATCAGGCAGAAAATGTAATAAAAGAAAGGGTAAAAGCAACAAAACTATTGGTGGGGCTTATAAGAAGACAAGTGACGACGATGAAAGTGATGAGGATTCAACGTTTTGTTTGATGAAACAAAACCGTTCATCCTCATCACTTTCATCGTCATCACTGAATCCTATAGCTCTAGCATTTTAGGAGAAAAATGGATTCAATGCACTGGGTGCTAGTTGTGGGCACACACAAAATGTGTAAACGGGAGCATATTTTTCTATGAATGCAAAAATTGCATCACCGATTTAGAAGACTGGTTGGATAGTATGATCTAAAATAATTTATTTTATTAATATTATTTTATATAATTAATATATAAACATACATATATACGTCAAAACGGTTACCAAATAATAAATATAATTACATTACTCAGATATGATTATCCGTTACCAAAGGTTTATAAGAAGTTTTTTCGTTTTGTTTTAAATACTTACGAAAGTACTTTGTTTTTTTTTGGATACTCAAATTACCTAATGTTCAAGCGTCTGATTGTTTTTCTTATAATTTTAATTTTATTGTGTTTAATTGAAATGGCGGAAGATCGCCTATTGCTTGCAATAAACAATATGAGTAATAATTTTTTGTGTCTTTTATCCTATTTCCTCGCAGATTTTTGCCTTTACAACTTCATAGGTCAACTTACCCCAGATGAATAGTCAACCTACCCCAAACATGGGGTAGGTTGACCAGTTTTTCCTATTATATAAGAACTGGCCTCCACTCTACATCTTAATGAATAACGTGCTTTTTGCCACTTCTTTCCAAAGCTCAAAAGTAAATCTATGAACTGAACCCATTTTTAAATAAATATACTCTAAAGGAATAAAAATAGAAGCCTTTAAGCTGAAACTTGGTCAACCAACCCCGGTCTCCCCTAACTTCGGCTACTTTTATTTTAGATTTTTTTTTATTTTAAATTCCACGCGGGCGAAGTCGCGAAACTAGTCAGAAATAAAATAGAATTAATTTAAAACGGTTTTAGTTTTCATTTCACTAATTAATTGCAATATCCAAAATCTCATTTCCAAAATGACATTTATATAGTTGTACATAATGGCAAAAATTGCTTTATTAAAAAAAAAGCAGTAATACTGTTTATTTAAAACTACTGCAATACGTTCAATTCTATCAGATATCCTAGGAAAGGTCTCGTAACGATAAAAATAAACTCCGCAGACAGTGGCAAATAAAAAAGAGACGTAAAGGTGAACTTGCTATCAATGACATTATATTGAAATGAAACCTATATAGAGTGTGGTTCCGCTCCGTACGATTCCGCTTTCAGCCTTAGTTGTAGGTAGGTTGATTTCAAAAGGTCGTTACAAATATCCTTATTTAAGGTTAAATTTAAGAGTGGCATAGTTATAGGGGGCAAATAATTATTGTAACATTAAGAACAAATACACTACATACCAATAAAACGTTGTATGTGTAGAAATTTTAACTTACACGTTAAAATGTATATAATTTGCTTGAAATCATTGTCATTTCAGCCTGTATAAGTTCACTGTTGGACATAAGCCTCCCCCAAAGTTGCCCCGAAACCCGACCCCGAACTACATGCATAACTGATGCATAAAGTTCGGGGTCGGGGTCCCCGTACATTTGGACGGGTTGTCACTCCATCATAAGTTCAAATAATATTAAACTGTAGAAAGTTAAAATTTTTACAGACGCATACAAGTCTCTATTGCATTTACATCTAAATACTATTTTACTACATTAAATAAAGCAACAAAAAAATTTATTCGGATTGAAGTTGCCTGGTTGAAACGAGTAAAACCGCACCATCCCCAACAGATGTTATTCTACTCGGTCGAGTTTAATGAATCAGACGGCTGCCCTGGCGGGGTGTATCGTTCGCTGCAGATCCTGTCGAATCGGTGGGGTCAACGTGCGACGATGGAATCTTTTCGGGCAGATGAGAATGGCGATACAAAGAAACAAGGCATATATAGATGACATAAACATGTACACTGAGCTGGCTTTCATTCGAAGTTTTCCTTTCGGTATGATAATAAGACGGTGTTTATTTGACGCGTCGGTGCGTAAAGTATCGCTATTTCTAAGACCCCTTCATGATCCTGCTGACCTAGAAAGCGTTTTGCATATTTATGAGAGACGTCGAGTGATCAATAAAACTGGTTAGACGCGGCCTGTTAGTGTTAACAACGATACGAAAACATTTAGAATAGTTAAACGTTCTAACGCATATACATATGCGTATTTTGAATTCAACAGTGTTACGCGAGACGAATTATAAATGGTCATCATTGATGTCAAATTGATCATTGGCGAAGGACTTAACTATTGCGTTAACCTAAATGTTTAACATCTGTTTGATCGCGTCGCCGAAACAGAGTTGCTTGTGTCTTTTTTTATTTCAATAGTTCATTCGAATGAATAAAGTTGAAATTAAAAAAAAAAAAAACAAACGTGTCCAATGAATTAGAGGCTGTCCAATGATTAGGTATCGACTTTGTGTGTGGTAATTTATTGTGAAATTAATTACGGTTGCCCAAAAGGCGTTAAAAATGAACGCTGTTGCGCAATACGTTTATTACGCAAGAGTATTTATTAGATTCAAGAGATTCATTTGCTTTGAACGGTCGCGACAGTATTGTCAGCGCACCTGCTCATTTAGTCTACGGTCGTGATTTAAGCTGGGAGGAAACGACATCGACATCTTAATCGGGCTCAATTAATTGCATGACAAAGTAAAATGTGTTTTAAAAACAAATGGTTACCACAATATTTACATGAACTTTATTCTAATGACAGCGTTCGCATATAAACATAGTTGTTGTTAACTGAAAGTTGTAATTATGTTCTATACTACAACAATGATTTTTAAAATAAATTTGTAATGTTGTGCGCGTAAAATGAAGGCTTGTCTGATATCGTATCTGTACCTAACGACAAATATTAACATAAAAGAGTATAAATATACTTTATAAAATACACCCGCTGAATGTTGGCGCCGTCGCTGCTAATGAATTGTTTGATTAGGAATCCTCGGTATGTTTTTGTGCGTTTACACGTATACTTACAACCTTCATTATCTCGTTCCACCGTTTTTGTAAATACCTAATCAAGATATGTGATGAAATTACTTTCTTCATTAAAATTTTTAAGATCAGATTCACTGCGATAAATTATGTAGACATAATCCAGAAGGGCACTATTTTTTATTATGTATACGCTGATAGATCAACTAAGCGTGGAGAAGAGAAGATACTTGTAAGAAGTACGAAAGTAGAAGGGCTTGTGTTGTGGGTATCAAGATGTTTGTATGGTAAACGTATAATAAAAACGATTATCTAAATTTATGCTACTATTACAGGTATTACATGCGGGTTCGTTATCGTGTTTAACGTTTCATTAAAGTCTCGGCTATGTAGCGGAACCGTTCAATCATAATACCTTTGCACTTTACAAGTTTAGCCAGCCTTTCGATTTCTCCAGTGTCACGATACAAATTGATCACCTCCCGAGGCAAATGTTAAAAGTGTTATAGTCACCTATATACTGCTTTTTCCCTTCTAAAAATTATAATGAGTAATAAACAAAATATATAATTGAATGTATGAATTTAAAACTCGAGTGACGGTACCCACTGATTGATTTTGCAGCAAGAACCCTTGTCCAACACCCTCACCACCGTGATGGAAGGAAATGTTGAAATGGTGTTTAGCTTGTAATAAAAGCTCAGCGAAAACTGGATTAGTCTAAGGACTGAAAGCGTAACATCAGTTATAAAAAAAAAGAAAACTGGATAGCCCCACCCATATCCAACGACGGACTTAGTTATGGTTAAAAGACGTGAGGATGTTGTGTTCAGTTCAATTATATACTCGTTTGACGGCAGACGATTAATCAAATACAATTGAAATAGTACACTGCGTAATACAAGAGGTAGTTTCAACAGCTGGATGCGTCATTCGGATAGTGGAACTCACTCCAGTAGTATTTACCGACGCATCGAACGGCCCTTACAGGTTTTGCCATGATTGTCAGGAGAGTGATTGTCGCGACTTGCCCACTGCGTTCAATTTGAATGAATAAAATTGACATGTAGCAGAGACGGCGGTGTTTTTTTCAGACGGGCAGAGATAATTCTAATGATAATTCCACGGGAAGTTACTTAAATAAATTTCCAAAACACGTATTGTTGAAATCGTGATTGGTTTAAATTAAAACGAGGGCGCTGCAATCAAATCAATTAACCAGTTTAAATGTTAAATAATTCCAAAGATATTATGAGCACTGCAAACAATGTCTTTCCGTCGAAATTCGATTCAGTTTAATCGTTTTTAATAAACTTTACAGTAAATTTCTCCAACTTGCTACAGCACTAGTAAAATTAGTAGTTATACCCGATAATAGTGAACAAAGGATGAAGGGGTTTAGCGTAAGCCTAACCGTACTCACCATAGCTTGCTCGATCTTGTTGTCGATCGCCACGGCGCTGGTACCCGACGCGCTGTGAACAATGAGATGATCAAAATTAGCGATACATAAAGTGACTGTTCAAATCATTTTGCATTACCATTGCGTTTGCATTACCATTATTACCATTGCGGGCGGTAGAAAATTGGCTTGAAATAACGGTGCATATTATTGGCTTGCACAGACATGGGGTTGAACTAGTTCGCGCGTTCCGGTTTTTATTTGGAAACAGTGGTCATTTATATCACACAGCGACATCGAAATAAATAGATTTAAATAGTTATAAATCTTTGAAAAAAGTATTGGTAACACAAGTAACATTAATGTTGGATGTTCATTTACAAATGAAAGCTTTATGTCTAATCAACAAGTGCATCAATAATTGAAGCATATGTTTGCTATACATAAAATTCGTATCCCAAAGCAATCAATGACTTTCCGAGGTAAATCGATTAACCACTCTCCAACAAATCTTGCTTTATCTTGATGCGTGCCGAGTTCTTTCGACATTCGTATCGGAATGTGTGAATAATTGGCCTTATCAAACGCATTATAAACCCATAAGAAACTCACAGTTTAAGAATTAGTTACTGTATTTGCGTACGAGCACATTTTGTAATGTGAAAGGTGGATTGCGCGAGGCACCATAACCATTAATATTGCACAAACATTTAAATGCCTTGATCGACGGCCCAAGGATGAATTTCCGTTGACCGGTGACAGCGGATGATTACATTAATTTCGATGCAATTCACGAGGCAAGGGTGATACGTTTAACTTCGACGGTTTATCGTTAAGATCGCAAACAGGATAGGATTGATAGAAACAGTACGCCATAATGGACGTACGACAAACGTAACGAACACGTGTCTGCAGATATCAGCTCGATACGATGCACCAACAAGCGGATAGTGCTATTCGACACAACGGTAAACTTTTAACGTAACATCAACAGATGTGATTTATTTTGGTACGAACTTTTTGCATGGAAAACGAAACAATGAGAAAGAGTCGCATCGTGCACATGTTACAGGAGCGTCGTTAGAGACGTCGACCAAGAATGACGACACAGCCTACTACGCGGCGGCACGATGCCGGACGTCTTGTCCATTATGATACAATCCATCCACACACCTCTGGCCCCCTCTCGTACCCCGTAACAGAACTTGACTTTCTCCCAGCGCGGCCGAGTCGGAGCCAGTGGAGCATCGTTGACGCGGGCGCTGGCGGATCGATTTCGACCAGTCCGCCACCGCCGCTCTCGGATATTGAATAACGCCCGAGCGCCGCGCCATCCACCGCCGCCGGCGTAACGGACGCCCGAATGCACAACGTCGAATACGGGAATAATTGCATAAATGACAGACCGCAATCGGATGATCGTACGCCGCGATGCGATTGGGCGTTTGTCGAATTGTCGAGTGCCTTAAAAGAAAACAATGCCAAAATATAGCAGGTTTCCTTTGAATGACTGCGTAATACCCATTAAGAGTCAGTAAAAAAAAATCGTGAATTAATAATCTAGCAATAATTGCTTTTACAAATGCCTACCTAAATGTGACTTGATCAATGATGCATAAAATATTTTATTAAAGTAAACGGTTGAGCGTAATTAAGACGCACAGGCATTTTATAATTTAAAGAGCAAGAGAAATTAAATTTACGCTTCTTTTGTGTTGAAATCGAAACTGCACAAATTAAAGTCCTTTCAAATACATCGGCGGTTGCGAAATTGCACGAGCTATAAAAAACTGGCTGGCATGACTATCAAGAGCAATACGTGAGCGATGATTTGTTGCCAAATATACCTCGCAAGCGGACCGATTCACGCGTATCAGTCAACGGAATGGTACCTGGGCAGCGTCGAATATTTGACGCACCGATCGCAGCATTCCGAATCCAGAATAGATTTTGTAGCCTTTAAAACAAACACCGAGACTTATGAGAGAAAACTTTAATGCTCTTTAAATGGAGCCAGAGCAATGACATGTGGAAAGTGAGCAAGGCAAGCAAGCACAAGCGACGAACAAATAGTGGGTCGCATGAGGTATTCAGCGAACACGAGATGGAAACAAACAAAGGAAAGATAAGGGTCTTGTCGCCACGCACGTGCGTGCTTGTGAACAACGTATTCTATTAACAACTTTAAAATGGGTATCATCTGCACACACAAAGAGCGAAGTTCGAAAACCACGACTGAAAATTTCAAAGCACTAAGTACTCTTTGTGAAGAGCAAAAACTCAAAGAACAATAACCCCGTCCACATTTGGCTTTCGTAACCACTTAAAGATTAAAATAACATGTGTCGACTATGCGAGAAGCGGTGATGGAATATTGCACGAAACTTGAATGCAAAAAGTTTAAATTAGCTCGAACGATTTTGATATCGTCTGCAAGAACAAATGTAATTTTTTTTAATTCAAACATCGTAATAACGCCCAATGCAAATACGATGAAAAGATTGAGGCGTTAAATAATTTATCGGCGTGTTTACTTACAATTTACAAATGGCACTTGGCCGGAGTCCAGCGTAGCGTCACGATGTATTAGGACTTCGTTGACCGATTTCAAAAACAGACTGAGTAAGATAATCAGATATAGAAAGGGGATTTTATAACTGAGTAAAGTAACGGCCTATATATGAGTCACTTCTAGACAAAGAATTCCGCTGTACTGATATACCCCTTGTATTTGGGTATCCACGCGACCCCACTGCATAGTCGTAGAGTTCGTATATATTCGAAATATATTTTTGTTGTTATTTCTAGAATATGCCGGTTTCCTCGCGTTGTTTTCATTCACCACTGAGCCAATGTCATCTTAGGCCATACCGAAGCTCTAGGGCACACAAGAATTTGGGGGCCTGTTGGAAAGTAAAAGAGGTTTGCTGCAACAGGGGATGCACAAATGACTCACTCCAGAAGGGTGGATTGAAACAGAGATTTAATAATTCTCACAATTTGAGTGTGTATTAAGTTTTATAAGTGGAATAGTCGAAATAAGTTATGCTACATATTGCCAACGAGGAGCGAATGAGCCCGTGAATCACACAGTATGTCCGAAACAATGCTACTTAGGCAACAAAGGTCACGCGAAATAAAAACGTGTGTCTCATGAAAATTCAGCAGTGGCATTACTCACCTGCTGTAATTTTAATACCTTTATCATGAAGCTTTATGTTTATCTACTCGTGCAGGAACAATAACTGGTAATATCACTACATAGTATAAAACAAAGTCATCCCGCTGTCTGTCTGTCCCTATGTATGCTTAGATCTTTAAAAGTACGCAACGGATCTCGATGCGGTTTTTTTACCATATAGAGTGATTCAAGAGGATGCTTTATATATACATTGCACCCGTGCGAAGCTGGGGCGGGTCACTAGTTTTATAAAATATTCATTATTCATATTCAATGAAATATATATTATTATAAAATCATATTTTTTACTACTTCTCATGTGTCCCGTTGCACCTCCATATTTTCCAATTTACAATATAAAAATTGATGATCACAGTGAACTGATTAAGCGTTACTTGCTCGTTATTTTGACAGCTACCATATATGAGTAACTGCTGGATTTTTTAATCGTTAACAAAGCCAATTTTGTTATTGCAGACACCGTTGCTGTCGTAGTGAAGGACACGTTTAAATGCATATGAATATTTTAATAGCGCTATCGTTGGTGTGCAATAAAGCCGTATATAGTTGTTATCTTACGAGCGGCCGGCGCGAAGCCAGCCAAGGTTGTCGAAGGGAAATTAACGGGTGTACTAGCATTCACATGGTCGTTATTCTTATTTTGCATCGGCTTGCGAGTCGAAATCGACTCGGCGGTTATTTTACGAAAATAATCCCAACGGCGACTAATATCATGATGTTATAATTTTTATTGGGACTAAATAACACAAACAGATCCAACAACGATAAGATTTCTAGTACGTAAAAGCTGATTTCGGAGAGCACACAGAGCATCAAAAACGCAAAATTTAGAGTTGGATTTGGCTGGTGTTGGTCACGCGAAACGGTCACGTAACGGTGCTTTTCCCTAAGTGTCCACAGATTACAAAACGTTTATGAATGAAAAATTACTTTAATTAAAAGCTGGACGTGAAGAGAAACATGAAAGATTAAGGTTGTACTTGAACAAATTTGGGTTAAATTTTTACATGAAAGCAATCGTATTGAACTAGTTACTTTTTTTACTGTATGAGGTGATAAACAGGTATGTCTGCTTTTCGGTAGAAAGCGGTTACCATGCACGTTTTTATGATGAAAGTCAAAAACCGTTGTCGTTTCAGTTTTAAATAAACGTGTCGTTTCACGTGGCAATTGAACGTGACACTGCAAGATATTCCAGAAAAATACCGCAAGGGAATTGAGAAATGTGATTTTTAATACAAAATGAACGACGAAAAAGGTATCTCGAAGTCGATGGAAGATCAATGTCGCAGCGGGCGGAGCCTCTCGAGGTCGACACTCGCGAGGCGCATATACAACGTGTTGTACATTTTGAAGAGTCAGTGTTTTGTGCAGCGGATCGATACAGCAGCAGTCAGGCGATAGCGACGCCTAGGTTCAATAGGCGGCGCTGACGTCAGCTAATGGCAACCGTTCGTCTGGCTGCAGTAGGAACATGTTGCCGTGGAACCTTCACCGACTTACCGGTTCGGTAATTATAGCTAAAAAGTTTTGTATACACAATAACGCCATGTTGCGGGGGGGAACGAAACAAACATATCGCGGGCCGACGGGAAATGTCTGCATTGCGCAATCGCTGGTCTGTGGTGTAAACACAAAAGGTGTAAAACGTAATGCGTAAAAACTACTCACACCGGGTAGAAGTAATCGATGTACTTGACAACGACTTCCCTGAGCAGATCCTGTTTGTTCATGATCGATGAGTAGGTCCCATTTATGAGTTTGGTTTGCATGTTGCCCACTTGGCCTTGCGGCTGCACGAGGCGAGACCGTCGGGTCCCGGGCGTCGGGTTCAGCGGGGCCGTTTTGTGTGTTGCGAGGCGTTTTGTTTGTGCGTGTCAGACGTGGTATTGTGTTGGGAGTTGTTTGCGTGAGTGGCGCGCGCGGGCGGCCGGGGCGACGCGTTGCGGTGAACTGGGACCGCCGGGGCCTGCCTCCGGGGGCACGGAAAGTGATGAAGGGGGGAGGGGGGGGGGGGGGGGGAGGTGTACGGCGAGCAAGTGGCGCGCGCACCGCTGTACCAAAATTACGGAGCTACGATGGCGCCTCCGGAGCACCTAGGCAACGCTTTTGCGACACACCCGAGCGCCGCACCGCGCTTTGGAGCGCGAACGAATAATCCGTCGCAGCGATCGAAACTCGCGTTCGGTCGAAAACGGTGCGGCGGCGGCGGCTCGCAACGGATCACACCATTCATTCCGGTTCAAGGGCGACCACATTTGGCGAGATTTTTTTTTTTTTGGGTACAGCAAGAGCAAAACCGAGAACAGGTGCTCAATCAATCTCCATGCTCCGTTCAATCGCAATGTTTATCCAAAAAGGTTTCCTTACTTGAAATGTTGGCAGTTTTTTTTATTTGAATATCAGAGCAAAATTGAGTTGTTTTTGCAAAAAAATTTCTGTTACGTCCCTTTTACAGAGGAGGCCTTTGCCCGGCCGTGGGACATTTGTAGGCTGTTACTTTACTAGCGCCCGTCAATCTAAAACATTCGAAAATCAGCAGGACCCTCATCATTTATATTATGTATGTTACGCGTCAGTGGTAGCAGCAAACTGTCACGCTCATAAGGAGAGAATATTATAATTACTTACTTCCATACCAATCTTATAAAAGTAACTCTGTCTGTCTGTCTCGCTTGCCGATTTAAATAAAATTTTGTACACAGATAGTCTAGCGCCTGAGAATCCTTTCTCAGGCGCTAGACATAGGCTATTTTTTTATTGAAAAAGGGTTATATAGGGTTCTTAGAGGGATAGATATTTATTTAAAGGCTTCAACGCGACCGAAGCCGCGGGCGAAAAGCTAGTTAGAAAATAAATGGAAAAGTAAATAAATATTTGTAACAAATTAAAAAAAATCCAATAGTTTTACAATTTGAGTTTTTAAAAATGTAACACTGAAGATATTAAGCATCTAAATTATATATATTTAAAAAAAATAAAAAAATATTGACATTTGCAAAAAAAGAGTAACTCATTACATTTCGATCCCATTATTTCATTATTGCAAATTCGCCGCGATTTAAAGCTAGAAAATGATAAAATCTTAAAACCACAGCATCTGGAAATACGATCATCCGTTAATTCTAACCTCAATTATAAGTCTGGTCTCTTTTACTTAAAAAACTTTAAAAAAAGTGACGGTCAAAATTTATTACATTAACTTCGTGATTGCTTTCGTGCGTTTGTTGCAGTCGTGGGGTTTAAAGTCTTTAACGTTAATATTAGTTGTCTAATGACGTCATCAATACATAAAATAACTAAATGGATTTGTCATAACTCGGGCTTCTGTGCTAATTAGCTGAACGCACGATGAAGCCAAGTTCAAGACGTTTAGAAATAAAACAACATGTCGACGACTGTGCGTAATAAATACTTATTGTGTTCCTCCATAAGTATGTACGTGAAATAGGGAGAATAATCATCTTAGCGAAGACATGAAAGGGAAATTTTCTTCACGTTTATTTATGCTTAGACATCTGTGCGTAAAATAATGCGCAATATCTTTTCGTAAAACGAATGTAAATTTAAGGCGAAAACGTCTTTGAAGACAGATGAAAGACAAAAGATAAAACAGATAAAAGTTAAAGACAGTTGCAACATTTTACGTGCTTTACGACTAACTTGCCCATAGCTTACAACACCTAGCGTAAAATGTATAATATGATTCACCTTAGCATATATATAAAATAATATGCTATATAAAATAATATGCTATATTATTTTATATATATGCTATATTATTTTATATATATTATATATATATATTACTAGCTGGTGCCCGGTGCGCTTCGCTTACGTATAACCGTATATCAATTCGACAGATGGTTCAAAGGATAAAAATCACTGCCATCAGTGCCACATATACGGCACTAACGTAATTATGTTCATCGGAGTGGTCATGCCCTTTATATATGGCCTATGTTTCATATCAAACAGGCTAAAAATTCTCGATTTTTAGGTGAACGTACATACACACATTCTCCTTTACATATATTGATATCCGTATAAAGCTACATACATTCATAAAATACTTGTATTTAACTTACTTTTAACGCCAAATTTTTTTTATATAATAAGTTATTAGTCTTTCCCAACTTTGAGAAGAGCATCTGAAAGGTAATACGTAATTTTTAAAATAAAGATCTTTGGGTGTAGAATCGCTATTACTTCTTTGTAGGCCACATATTATATGTATTCTTGTAATATGTTTGTATTTCAACATAGCTATTATTCAATTGGCATTGTTAACAAGCGCCTAGCGAGCGAATGAGGTAAAATCATATCATCAAGAGTGACTTGATTAAGAGTTGTGGGTGTTAAACTTATCGTCTGCGTGAAATTTAACACAAAATATTTGTGTCCGGTTTGCGCAGTTCACAATATGCACGATTTACATTGCGTGACCGTAACTATCAACATTCGAGATTACTTAGCAGGTTAAGTGACTGTTAAGAAGAAATAATTGGCCCGTATCTTCATGTGGTTCTCCTGGCTCTGGTCAGGGAATCTGTGGATAAGGAGCGTCGTGCGAGTAGGAAGACGCGTCTTATGTTCCAGCGCGTCTTACCTAGAGGAATGGGAGGGAAGGGTGCTTCCCGAGAATCTTGGGCGGTCATCGCCGAGAGAGTCATAATTCTAAAGCTTTCCCGTGGCCCGCCGATAGGCGCCCTAGGTGAAACATCGTGAGGGCTTTAGTCGATGCAAGTCCTCTGTACAGTGCAACCAAGTTGTAGGCATATGGTAAGAGGAGTGTTGCATTTGGCCACTGTCACAGCATGGGCGGGCACAAGGGCGCACCTTGGTGGGAACATCATGGAGGTATTTATTCGGGTTGATTCGGAAATAAGCCGTCATTGCTTCATAAGGGTGGGGGTATGCGTTGTAATTTCTTCGACGAAAGGTAAAAAAAGGTTAGTTATCAACCTAAAAGGCAGTAGTCGCCGATTAAATCTCTCGATAGACTCTCACTTTTGCGAGGGTGGGTATTTCGCCGGAAACCTGTCATACAACAGCAGAAAGCTTTAACGCGGCTTATACAACAGTTTGAAATTGTAAGAAGAATAGAAAGAACAGTTTCACAAAAAAAGGAGCCAAGTTCATTCGGAGCTGTGTGAAGGGTGGTGCAGGCATGTGTTGCGGCGTAACATACGTATACCGGGTTGTGTCTTGCAAAATCTACACATGTGCACAGATTACGAAACGAATTACGAGCGGCCGTGTCGGTGGGTCAATATAAAAGCGGAGATAATTTCGTAACGGACGTGTGTGCTCGAAAATAATCCGATTCCGCGGTGCGCATATAAATCTAGTTTCCGCGGCCGCCGCGAATGCTTCGTCCACCTGTCTGTATTAATGTCGAAGAGACATGACACTACCAGTCAGTAATTAGCGCGAGTTTGTCCGCACTGTTTGCGGTTGAATGATATAAATTGCAAAAACCTTGACGCTTATAACGCGGATTAGCGTGATCTGTAACAAACACACATACCTCCCCGCTGTTTAGGATCCTATCGAGTTTCGGAAAAAAAAACATCAACAATAAGGCGTACAAAAGTATTACACTGAATTAGTGCAAGATCTTTGTGTGTACCGTTATGGAAAGGAAGTTAGTAATACCCGATGGAGCTATATCAAGGGCCGAAAATGAAATACATATGATACGGAAATTAGCGGCCCGAATCCATTTAATATGAAAAGTTGTGAATGGACCGTGCCCCAGATGTTAAAATGTTTACCGCCGCACATGGACGTCTACTGTTGACGGATTGTCGATGCATTTCACACATTAAATAAATCGGACCCGGTTACCCAGACGAAATACGAAGGCGTCTTCTTTGAGGTGGACTTCTGTATTTCCCAGGACGAGCCTGTCCATTGGTGTAATAATAGAAGCTACTACGTTTGCCGGGTAACGCAAAGTGGATGTAATAAACGAATATTATTTAATGAAACATTACTTTCTTCTTAACTTCAATTTACGAAAATACTACACAGTTTTATACAAAACTAGTTATCTATTTATTAACGAGTATTACTTGTGTATAATGGAAAAAAGTATTCTGATAAATGCATAAGATAAAAAAATAATACAAATTATTAAATTTAGTTTTGGTGCTTTTTCAAGACAACGAGGGCGTCAAAATCCATACGAGAGAGATCCCGGCGGGAAACTGCGGTCGTATCGACATTCCTATTTTTAAGAGAAATATTATTGACCATCATCATGACAGTAGAATTAGTAGGCTTATAAAAAACTATTTCATTAAATCGCGACTGTCAACCGCAGCCAAGTGTTCTTTTTTTAAACAATATATTCTTTTTATTGCGCGTCTCTCTAACACAATCGGTCATAAAACCAAAGCGGGGACGTAGAAAAACACACACAATTTGCCGCAGTAAAATTTCCAACCGGCATGATGATCACGTAATGGACGTTACGTTAATGTGTGTTGTTATTAGAGTACATGCGAATGTTAATGCTTTACGACACTTTGACGACCGGCATGGCAGCTTTGTTCATTATCAACCTAGCGAGGTCGTCTATCTGCGCCTATAATAACAGCGGCACTTGTTTTTCAACCCTGATGGTGTGTACAGTCACAGATCGCAGAAGTGAAATATAACAAAATAAGCAAAACTGTGATTAATTCCAATGCGTAAATTAATAATAATGAACTACTATTAACGAGGGAATGATTATATATAAATTAAGGGCAATGCTATTTTCTTTAAAAAATATACATATATATATTTTTTAAAGAAAATAGCATTGCCATTAATTTAGTATAACATTATACTGTGTTGTAAGGAATTTTCACAAATTTCACGCGGACAAACACCCGCATCAGATATTTAAAAAAAAACATGGATGTTAAAACTTGCGTTGGCATTAAATTATGCATTATACGCATAAGGTTTACCATCAATATATATTTGTTTTATCTCGAGATCAACCGAATACAAATTAAATATTTCTTTTATTTTAAAATATTTATTATATGGTTAGATCTGTAATTAGAATGTATTTTAACAAAATATGTGAAAACTATGTTACTTAGATAGTTTAAAATTTTTCATTAGTTCACTATTACCAACTTATGTTATATCACAAGCAGTCGTTGGTCCTCATTACTTTAACAATAACCGATGTACTTTTATAATTTAAATAGTACACACGGAATGGATTGTAAATCAACACTAACGAGCCCGCAATACGTAACATGAGGAACAAGAAACACCAATTTCGCGAAGGCACGTGCGGAGTCATCTATCTTTCGAGTGGTCGGTATCTGTTTGTTAAGAAATTGCGTGGTATAAATATAAACTGAGAGAGTAAAAAAAAGTAGCAGCTGCGAATAGTTGCTAACATTGAACATGACTCGTCGACAGCTATGTAAGATTAACGTTTAAAAAGAATCGCTGGAATTAACTAAATTTTCGTACAGCGAGAGTAGAGACAATTGAATACATAAATACGCAACTATTCCTGACACATAACCGATATATTTGAAAAATAAAAAACGCAAAAGATCCGATGAGATGATTCAGCGGATAAAAAAACCTCACGATTCGTGACTAATATATTACACTAAAGAAAATGTGATCGGTCTTGCCAGTGCTCTATCGTGAATTCGAAAAAAGAGAAATGTCGTTCAAGCAATAGTCAATACGCACCCACAAGCCGGAAATCGAAAATTCTGGACAACGTTATTCACAATTTGTCATGTTAAACAACAGTTGTTGCACGGCTGTCAGTCATGTGTTTCCAAATGCGGTACTTAGTAACAGACGCTCCCCTAATGTAACTAGAAAGAAAAAACAGAAGCCCAAAAAAATGTATTACATAATATACTAGAAAAACATAAAACATAATTCAGTGAGAACATTATGACACGTAGTCACCTTCATTAACAAAGAGTGACGGCATCCAGTTGAGATTATCAAGTTTTTTCCATTCACAACGTTGCAATTATAATAGAATTATCTTTGTTAAAACGTGTAGTTATCGAGTATAAAACAGATAATAACCGGAATTACCTCTAATGACATGAATAAAAATAAGTGATCTAGCTGTTGTGACGTCATCAATGTAATATAACAATACGGAGTCACGATAAGGAATTAAGGCTTATGTGCTGTGGATCACGTAAACGCATCAACCGAAGAAGGTGCTGTGTACAGAAGACATCCAGTCGTAATTATAATCAAATTAATTCTACACACACCGCATCAATGCTAACAGTTAAAAAAAGAGTTCTAGGATTAGATTAAGAGAAACTAATTACCTTATCTTAATTAATATTAAAAATAATAGAGTGTATTTTATAATTTTATAATATATTATGACTGTGATTTCTTTTCCTTAAGTAAATTAAAATAAAATCAGTCAACTGTTCGAAAATGTTTACATTGAATAGTAAAAATTCTTATAAGGTTTCTTTGTTCCCATGGAAAATGGTAAGAGAAATCTTAATAAAATTACGCTATGAAAATTACTCTACGATCTTTATCGTATTTAATTGTACTCTTGTTGACGTTTGAAATACTTACAGCATTACAGGAATTAAATTAGTGTATAAAACGTGATGAAATTTGTAATTTAATTAATTTTCACATAAATAAAAAATATAAATAATCCACTTTGAACTTAAATTTACAACATTACTGCATTTTGAACATGTTATATGTTCATAGATTCAAATAGGGAAAATTATTTTTAGGAGTAACATCAGAAACGCTTTTAAACATCTCGAATGAAAATCACACCGAAAGCTTTTATTGCATTCAAAAAACCTAAAGCATTCGTCTCAAGTGACAAGTTCCTGGCATTTATTGCTTCAATGAGACGTAAGTTGAATAAATTGAAATTTCCGTTAGTTTCGGATCGGACGGCGGTAAAGCGACCCAGATTATGCAACATAGCGAAGCAGTTGCAGGAAAAGCAACATCTCACGTCTTTTAACCCTGACGGAGTAGCCAGATAAAGCCGACGGTTTTTATCAAACCTATCATTTGGCTTAAAAGATGGGTGGTGTGGTGAATAAGAAACAGTTATGTTTGACAAATGAAAAAAAAAAAACATTTGTGGCTATGGACACTGGAACTCGCTACCTGAGATTGAAATTGGCCGCAAGCAATGACTGATTTATTTTCGTAAACACACCGTTGAAATTGTCAAGAAATAAAATTCAAAAAGAAAATTATAAGTCAGTTTCGGTTTTACTTTACTATCAGCAACGCGCAGTAAAACGTTAGTTCAAGCACCGCGTACCTCTCATGCTTAATCTAATTAAACAAATCCAAATGAGCTTAAAAATGTTTGCATGTAATTATTGAATTTCTTTAATTTTATTAAAAGACTTGCCTTAATTGTTTTGAAACAAAGTTTAGAAATCTATAAACAAACCTGCGTCACCATGGTTGCCGAAAGGATAACATAAGGCTACCAAATAAATCGATTTAATTCTGTTGAACGATATTGAATGTCAAGTTAAAAATTCACGAGCTAGGCGTGGTGCCCGTTAAAACATCCAAACATTCTTCGTAATTCACATGTCAACATGAAAACTTGATAAGATACGCTCGTGATAACGCAAGAGGCGATAGTACTTAAGAATACGATAACTGCCACATTCAAAGATTTTACAAGTCTGCCCGTGTTTGTTATGCAACTGTCAAGTGACGAAGTGGCCGGTGGCTGATCGCGGATTCTAAATTTAAGCTTAAACTTACGAGCACCACGTGTTCCTTCGGGCGAACGTCGACCGGGGCGTGTTCGCGGCTGGAGACCTCGGTGCCGTGTCTTGGGGTAGGTTGAGTTTAAAGCCCGCAATCGATTTCCGCCTCTTGGCGGCAAGGGCGCGCGCGGCGAGGTCCGAGCCGTGCACCATTTGCTCGGGCGGGGAAGGGCCGTGCGAGCATGTCCTGATGTGCGCTTGCGCCGTCGCCACCTGGAGCAGCTTGCTGGTGAGGCTGCGCCGCCCCAGGGCCTCGCAGGTTGCGCAACGTCCGTCCTCCATGAAGGTCCTCGTGCGTCCGAGGCGGCCACGGCGCGGGTACTGAGCGACTATTGTTCCCGGCGTGCGCGGCGGCTCAAACTGATGTCATCCGACGCGAGGCAAACGCGCCGCCGGCCGTACACGCGACCAGTTGGGGCCCGGACTGCGTTACGGCCGGCAAACGGTGGAAATCGATCGTCCGATGCACGAACGGAATAGGCTTAGCGTGATAGTGGGTGCGCGATAAGGTGAACACGCGAATAAGTGTGTTGACCTAGAACGTGGTACTACTCGTAGTTCGTGGGCAGCGGCGGGGCTTCGGGGCGGCCATGCGCGGGCGGCTCGGCGCAGACGACTGCCCTCTACGCCACTTAGCACCCCCGCCGGCGGCCGTAATCCGAACGCAGACGAACATATCGATGTTTGCGGTGGATAATAGGGCAGCGCGGGGGCATCGTGTGGCTCTTGCGGTGTTGGCCCGTGGCGGTTGCGGGGTGACGCCCGTCCACTGAGCGCTCCGACATTCCGCTGGACCCAGTCCAGTCCCGCGTTCATAACACCCAATAACATAACGCGCGAAAGCTTAATTAGCGGCGTAGAAACCATCGACCAACCGCACGCGGCGATATGTTTGGCAAAACGCAAATACAACTGAAATTTATGTGCCGAGAACCTTGGGAGTAATAAAACGAACGGTGTAAACAGCTGAATTAAATAAATCAGCGAATTGTATTGTAGAAACCAGATGCGCTTTGTCTATAGAACTGTTTTCGATCAGATACTAAGACATTACTCATCAAAGTATCCGTTTACTTGTCACAAATTCGCCTAGTTAAAAGTAATCTACATTTTATGTCTTACACAATTGCGTGGGCCGTTAGAAAGATTGGATAGGGGCCCTACGATCGAGACGAGATCAAATCGAGGACATTCGAACAGGTAATCGATGTCACGCCATAGCAACGTAAGCCAAAAGCGAAACGCATCGATCATCGCAAATAACGCGATACGCTGGCTCCGCGTCAAATCCGTCACCAATGTACACGCCCCGCAAGACACTTCCGACAAACCGATCCGCGTAAACAAATATGTATATTAATTAAATGCTCACAAATATTGAATAGCGCATCCTGCACTACGTGTTTCGACAGAAGGTGAAATGTGTGTCTTTTTTCTTTGTACAAATTTTCTTTTTACCATACGTTTCAGGTTTTTTTGACATTCACAACAGAATCAGGAACGGGTGGTGAAATTTGATAAGGTGTTTTATAAAGAGGTCATAGTTGAAATTGTGTCTACTCATCATAAATTAATAATGCCGTGGTTCGGGGTTTTTGGATTTTAAGGGTTTGGCTTCTCGTATTCTTAAAATGTTTTGAATAATAAAGGACTCATGAAAATTTTGTATGGGTATCGGTATGAACCACGCGTACAAAGCCACGAGACAACAGCTAGTTATGTATAAAATTTATCATATGGAAAGAGTTTTAGCTTTGTTTTATCGAGCTAAGAAGGTAGAAATATAAATACTTATCCAAATCACCCTAGTTTTACTTTTTACAACAATAACACTGGTATAATTACTTATTTTTACATTCAGACTAAAGAATCACCACTCGTAACGATTTAATTTGTTATACTGATTGGACAGCATTGTCGCGAATACCTACTTCTTGTTGACAGCTAAAACAGACCATGAAATGCTTTGGGCAGCTTCATTTATTCCTCATAGAATGACACTTCTTTAGTGTTGCTAACATAAGATTAAATTATTTGATTAACTGAACGCAATCAAAACGTACATAAAATCATGTATTAATACTAGAATGCAATTATTGCTGGTGACATTAAAAGTATACTAGTAGAGTTCGGCTACATTTAGCATTGTTAGGCTATCGAATGGATAAGCAATGGAATATTACCACTTTATCAAAGTATGAAGATTAGGGAATGTTTTATCGTTTTTTAATATAAATTATTCCGTATAGCAAATTGAGTTGTCCATGAAAATAGATACACAACATTAAATATAACTAAGTCAAAGTTTCAGATCATTCATACGTTTAAGACTGCATTAAAAGTTTGAGGGCAACTTATTGATTAACAATTTGGTAAAGCCAATAAAACTTTTTTGTAAGATTGATTTTATAGAAAGTGATATCGATCAATCAAAATATTACAATTTTTTTTTTAGATAATATACGACGAATGTGTTGTTCTTTTAATAGAATAAAATTGATTAATGTTTATTAGTTTCATTGATATCGAAGTTAGCCGTTTGCATGCTGTAATGGTACCAGCTTAGCATAAGATAACATTAGCATTAGATATGATAAGGATTGCTTTCCATTTAACTGTCGCATGATATTGGCACAATTTATGAATAAATACTACGTTTTAAGGTGGCAATAAGTGCATAATATCACTTAAAAATATTACAAAGCGTTTTAGCGGGACCGAGAGTACAACTGCGAGTGACGATTGTGATACTTCTATAGAAATACCAAGTGTAAGAATAATTTTCTATATTCAAAATACATTTTTTTTCATTTGTCACATTATTTTGTGACAACAAAAACTGACCTGTCAAGGACTATACTCATATGCCTAGAGAGGTTCGTTTTGAGGTCTCGCCGCGTGTACTGATGCTGTGCGGGGGGAGGCCCCGGCGGGGGTCCCCCCATCGGCGCCCGTTTGCCGATGAGCACCTTCAACTCGGCCATCAGCTTTTGCACCATGCGGATACGACGTTCCCTCAGCGCGCGGACGATACGAATGATGCGGCAACCCTAGTCGACCGCCAATGACAATGCCAAAAGCATCGGTCAGGGCGATGCATCGATACGTCACTAATTCGCGGTTGCACGTGACTGTTTTGTTTTCTATCGATATCGATACGGGCGTCTTTACAACGCGCGAGCGGCCACAGCACTGTCCCACTTGCGTCCAACTCTGACCTCGCCTCTTTTTATAAGCGCGCGATGAGCGCGCAAGGTGGTGTGTACGAGAGGCGAAATAAATTTGCGGTTATATTTAGTCGGGTGTGCTGATACCGCGTGGCACAAGTGGTTCATAGAAGAAAAAGGAAATGAGAAAACCACCATTTCATGGGGGAAAAAACGATGAAAACAATCACGAACACAGCGTCGAACGTGAAACTGAACCGAAGTAGGCGAAACAATTGGTTAATTAGCGTCGAATGGAAATGTAGGTCGATTGTAGAGCAACACAAAAGTTAGCGCACGAAATAGGGTCGTGCGAGTATTGTTCGAGTGTACAGCAAGAGTTGCGAGATAAGTGGTACGCCGACCGTTTCGCTTCCCGAATGGAATCTTTCCAAGGGCGTTCGTTATACGATGTGAAGTAGACGGGCGTCGGATATCATTAAAAACAATATAAAACATTATGAACCTTGTCGTAGAAGAGCCCTCGGGTAAATTTAAATGAAACGAGTGCGGTCGCTTCCGCTTTAAAAGTATGCGACTTTGAACGAGAATTGTGTAGCGAGATGGAGTTCGGAGAGGTAGAAATAGCCACTGCCTGACACCGACGACACAGGAAGTGTGCACGGACGGTAGCGCTCACTAAAGTGTGAGATGAAGGCGGGATCAATATCTTGAGAAAATTATGAAATTCTATATAAATGTTTATATTTTGAGAATTAAAAGTTTCCTTGTTCTACAACATAACATAACGTGTAAAAATGAATGAAAAATGAAAAAAGAAATTGAAGTTCACCAAGAATCCATGAACGTTATTTAATCCAGTTTATGTAAAAGATTGGGGTTGAATAAAAATCACGATTCGTTTAAGCTAAGGAAAATTAGGAGCGTAGCAAAATATCTGACCCGCTTTTCGCAACTGAGGGTCTGCTCTATTACGTGGTTCGCGTCTCGAGAGGCGAGAACGGGCTTGAAGTCACCATTAGCATGCCGCAACGAGTGGCACGATTGTGCAATAATGATACAATGCGATTTACATTAATTAAATTGGCCGTTACAGCTCGGCGGCAACGCACCGGCCGACGACGCAGACAGACAGACGGGCTTTCGCCCGAGTCGGAATCGAACTGGCGGGGCCCCGAGATCAGATCGAGATTATCGGAGCGTAATCGAGGCACGCAGAGGCTAACGCTTCCTCCTACTTCGGGTAAATCAACACAGTGCGTTGTGGAAGACGAGCGGGCGATTTCCTCGGCTGTTTGTAAACTGCCCGCCGCCCGACGGATGCGTGCGGGGTGCGTTATTGTGCATTCTGCTGGGTGAGCGAACTGCGAGCTATTTCTGAAACACCTGCGATCCGTGATTGTTGATTGTACGAGTTAAATGTCGAATATTGTTACTTAGTGAACTAACAGCTGACATTAAAGTAATTGTTGTTGTACGGTATAAAGATAAGCAACAAAATTGGGTAAATAAAATATGTATAGTAATAGTAGCTTTTTTATAGGAAAGCAATGGAACATATAGGCTGTTACTTCACCTTATTGCCTTGCCGTATGTTCGCATATGTAGCAAGGGTACCCAGGCGATTTCTATCACCGCGGGGCAAGTATTCAAAAAACCCCAACCCCATGGCGTGCATAGAACCGATAACAGTGCGACGGGCGGCATCGTCGTGGACACGTTGCCATTCATAAATAATTACATAGCTTCAGGGCCGAGTGCGCGGAAGCTTGACCCAGTTTCCGCTCCATGGTGCCCAACCACGTATCACCGCTGGCGGTCAACGCGTCTGTGCTACTCGTATATACTCACAAGTGGTATTTTAATCCGTCCTCCAGTTTGGCTGGTCGAACGTCGCGGTGTTGGGCCGTGTTTGCTTTCGCGGGTACCGTCGAGGACTGGGGCGGAACGTCCTACGCGCACGGGGGTCGGATAAACACTGAACGGTTTGTGCGCGCGTTCCCTGTTCCCGGCGGCCTCGCGTGAATGGGGCGCGACTTCTGTGGGGTGGCGCCGTGGCAGAGCGCGGTGGTGAGGCGTCAATCAATATGCTGGATGCGATCCCTCTGTTAATCGTTCCCGGTTGACGGGGCATGTTGGCTTATGGGACGCTAATAGGCGTTTCGGCACAGATATGTTAATGCTTACTAAGCCGCGATGATTACATGTACAAAGTGAATACAGGAAACGGCAACAACAATATGGAACAGTTTAGCATAATCTACAATAGCACGATACTATAAATGAAAAATGTATTCAATCGCATAGAGTGCAAATCGAAAATAAAGAATTTACTTATAAGAAGGAATTCAAATTTATTAAACGCCCGATCGACCTGATTTTATAATGTGTAATGCGTAATGTCATCTTTTAAATTTAACATAGCGACTTCAGATATTGTTAAATGAAACTATCTTATGTAATTGTAGTGATTTATAAACAATATTAAAAAATCACAAAAAAAATTAAAAACCTAATGCTTGTTACTAAAGCGATTTTTTCTATTTTAACATTATATCGCAAGAATTAAGAAAAAACACTACAGAGTGAATGGGGCATTTCGGTCGGATAACGTTATGGTATTGAGGAAACAGTATTGGAGTGGCAACGCAACCAGGTTTTACGTATGCACATCAGAGTATAGTGCATATGCAATGGGTAAGTTGCGCAAAACGCACACTACAAGAGGCATAATTTTTATTCCCCCCCCCCCTCCCCTCCGGTCTCCACCGCGCTCCCCGCAATAGACACGAGCTACAAACAGAGTGCGATGCGATGGTGAAATTTAACGCGACAACATTGGTTTCGAGAATGTCGTGGAAAAAACAATTCCTGGACGCTGCGGCGCCGGTCGTCCGTCGGCATCGACCGTCTCTTGCAAGACACAACAAAAACACACTACCTGCTTTGTACAACGGCGGTCCGTTTGGACCCCGCGCTTTAATGAGCCCATCACGGAAATCATCATGGCAACATTAAAATGCAACGATGGAAAAGAACTCGAGATGCGTCTTAATGAATTCTAACGGGTTTGGCACTGTGTGCCCAGTGGGGTACAGTTATTGCGGAAGATGGTGTGTTTATTTAATCACAATTGTGAAATGTAATTACACAAATCCATCATTTCATTTTGATAATAAAATACTTCTTTATAGCATTAAATTAATTTGTTATCATAATTTCTTGTATTAAAGCGTTCTAATTAATAGACAGTCTTTGCTGCTTCCTACTCGGACCAACAAATTCAATGATCCATCACTTGTATACCTTTCCTAATTAAGGCCGATAATAACCGATCGAGAGCACGCACCAGGAGATAACAGCGATGGCGATATCGTAAGCAAGACATTACCGGCAACGTGTCAAAACGATTGCCGTAAACGAGCCAAATCGCGAAATGATTTAGATGTTGGCGGCGCGATATGACGTAACGGTGCGTACGGGCGGAACTCGCACCACGGGGGCTTTACGCAATCGCAACGGTTGTACTACTGCACGCACTATCGCCCATCGCGCCTTCCGCGCAAAAACGTCCGATCAAAAGCGCGATGGCCGCACGTCACGCAGCCGATATGTCATTGTCTCTGGCTCGAAATCGCTGTGCCAAACCTATGGAATATTGAAATTTTAAGACCCCGTGACTCTTGAAGCTTTATGGTTCTCAGAATGACAGCCCTAATTTGTCAGTTAAAACTATGAAAAGTTTCTAGGGCTGACAAATGAAAACAGCGCGACAAAGTGCTGTTGTGCTGACTTTAAAATATATTTTGTTTTCACTTTTCTGACGCTATAAATCATATAGTTAAATGTTCTCATTAAATAATAATGACAACTTATAGAACCACATTAATTAAACAGGTAGATGACGATTTAAAGGGATTTTTTATTTTATAAAATGAATTGAAAACGAAAGATTATAAGGAAAATTCTTGAGTTGATATAAATAAAATATTTCATGTAAACGAAATTCTAAACAGATTAATATCAGTAAATTTTATTACCTACATATTTAAATATATTCAATACACTGACGGCAAACTAAAAAGGAAATAAAATATGACCATGAAAATATGGATGTGCAGTTGAACAGGTTTCAGAATTATTTTTAAAGAACATAAATGCATATTCATATCTCAAACGTTAAATTCAAAGATCATAACCGACGACCGACGCAATGTGATGAAACAGATAATGAAACTATAAAAACACGACTCAGTGAGGAACGCTGAAAGTATCTCCGGTCGGAGATTGATACGATGATAAAATCGGAAAACGTGCCATCGATACTATCGACAGATCGTTGGGTAAGATGGTACAAACGAGCGACGCGGTTGCACACGCGTTACGTAACATTAACAAAAGAATAAAAAAATCCTCGTCCTTTACCGTGATTCGGAACGCGCGTAGGCCACCACAACCTCACAGAAGACCGGCGTAAAATACAAGTGTTACACTTCTGCGTTTCGTCTGGTGAGTGAGATAGTCTGAGCCCACATTATTAAAAGGTGGCAACACATCTGCAACCGGTGTTGCAAATGTCCGTGGGCGGCGGTTATCACTTAACATCTGGTGAACCGCCAGCTCGTTTGCCACTTGTTCACATAAAAAAAAAGCCGGCGGGCACGGACGACTGTGTCGCCGGGCGATCGTGCAAAATGACGTCTCACCGGGAGAAATCGACGAGCAGCGGCCATTAGCGTGGAATGAAATAAACAAGAGGAATTAGCGCCGGCCAACAGCGGCGGCTATCTGACCGCAAGGGAGCGGGCGCCACCGTGACTTTCCCTTTTCCCCTCGTGAAAGTGATGATGGCCAGCGGAACAAAGCGATATTTCGCATCCCGGACTCGCGCCGATAAAGCGAGCGGCTCGTTGAAGAAAGCACCGCGAATTATTCACATCAGATAACATGATGGCAATGTACTATACAGGTAATGTTCTTTTACGCAGTGCATTGTTCAACGTGCTTACTGGATCGTCGATTCGATCTACGGAACCACAGAGTCAAATATTGAGTGCGTCAGTACTATCCATTTCTGTGACACTTTATGTTTATGTACTCTATTTTCTGAAATGCATATAAAGTGCATGTGGTATAAATATTTCCTTTAAAGTTGGGTTTTTCCCTCCGTCTCATATACGCCACAAAGTATTTGTTAGCTGGTGAATATAAGTTGCATTGTCACGACACCCGCTCCGTGAAAATAACATTGAAAACAAAAACAGAAGAATTAAAAAAGAAACGTTTATTTTGAATACATAACTGACCAAGATTAATATTCATTTTTATTCCAAGCAAGCATTGGCAAGAATGGAACGGCGTGCACTGACAGAGAAAATGAAATTTCACAGCCGCTCTAAACAACTGCGACATTTCTATGCAGAAAGGTTGTCAGCAGTCAGTGTTGCACGTCAATCTGCCGTATGACGATTATGTTGTTAATTGTGGGTGCATTAATTAGGAGCAGTATCTAGAAACACCGGCCACTGCCAAGTCGGTCATTGCAATCGGTTCATCTCTTCGCTTCAGTGAGCCGACGTGTTGTTGCATAGAGTTTTAATGTGCTGTGAGATCAGATTGGCACTTTCTACAATTGAACATTTGAAACACAATTGTCGAATGAATACAATTTTTGTTTGTATTACTCAGTAGTACCCGGAGGACCGTGCTTTGCTCGGTTTGTTTTTTTTTTGGTAAATCGTGTATTTTGGAAATTACATATGCATAATATTTTTCGATCTTACCGACGTAATAATAAGAAAATACGAACTGATGTTTTTCACAAAAGAAAGAACTTAAAAAAAAAGGGAAAAAATTACAAAATAACAAATCGACAAAAAATTAAAAATAAAGAAAGAAATGATCTGGAATCGAAAAAAAAGTTAAAAAATAAATGTGTAAATGATCGTGACGCGAACCACGGCCATCTGTTTTGGGGCCGCCCGATTACCGACCGAGCTATTATGACAGTTTCTCTTGCGACGAAATTTACCGTCATATTCGAATTATATTTTTCATTCCCTGAAAACAGGGATAAAAGGACATTTTCTAAAAATGAAACCTAGCTAGATCGATTTTTCGCCCCCGAATCTAAGCACATACTAAATTTCATGAAAATCGCTGGAGCCGTTTCCGAGATTCCGATTATATATATATATATATATATATATACAAGAATTGCTCGTTTAAAGGATAAGATTCATTGAAGCAACTAATTGAATCTTTGATATAATAGAAGATGATAAAGGCAGAACTATCACTTATTTGAGAGAAACATTCTGTGTAATGAAAATAAGGTAACACTTAAATTTTACTTGATATATACGGCGATTGGACCCAGAGAACGCGACCTTTGAGATTATTTAACAAAAATTTGTTAGTACTAAAGTTAAAAATTTAGTCGCGTGGATGTGTCTGTCAACTTTTCTCCTAAAATAATATCCCAGTTTTTATATATCCTGAGTAAAATATACGAATATACAAATACTACACCTTAAAGTAGTATACTTATATATACGTATAAGTAGATTTGTAACGCTTCAGCGTGTGTAAGCTATCCTCGCGCATAAAATCATATTTATTATTCGGTCGGCAATACCTATCAGTTGATAGCTTCAGCGAAGAGTTAAGGCGGGCATCGGTTTTAGTTAATTCCGCTCACAAGGTTAGCGAAGCCGCGGAGAACGGACCTCTGCTTCGATTCGAGTAGACACAGCGACCGTCGACTGTATTCATTAAGCGCGTGTGAAAAATGCCGTTGCAAAACGACCTGTTCGACTATCTGGCTAGTATGCAAGATCACATTTGGTAATGGTTACGTTGCCGTTAGTTCTGAAAAGTACTAAGTACCTAGACACGTGCTGACCGTACTCCACTTTGGGGATTAAAGGAGAGGTTTTAGTTCCTAGTTTATAATCTATCTGATATGTATATGTCAGAGCTTTATATTGTACATACAATGCCTGGTTAATTTTGAAAGTAAAAAATTTATCCACGTGCTTTTAAAGTAACTGTGACCGTCGACTGAAATTATTATTATACATATTGGACGTTTTTCGTAAAGTACAAATAAAAAAAGCAGGTGTGAAGTATTCTTATAGTGTAGTAAGTCATGCTATATTTGATCTCTATCTATATAGTTTATATCTATATCGAACCATCATATAGATTGTGTCATTTATATGTATCGTATTAGGAGCGGCAGTGTACTTAAATAATAATCGTATTGCCTGTAAGCCACAACATTGTTCTTTTATACATATTTGCAATGTACCTAGATGGAATCGTTTGTTTCTCCCACACGTTTAAATTTTATAAGGTGCAAATTGTTTGAAATATAAGCACCTCTATTAATACGTAATTTGCTTTATATTGCAACACGACCTCCTTGACCAAAGAACGCAGCAAAAGTTTCATAATTCGCTAGAACATGTAACATCTGTTTAATGAATACGTAAGATATTCATTTATCACGCTGTTTTCTTGCAACGTTAACTTCTTTATGATGCTACATTTGTAATTTGCTGTATGACAAAAATTTATTCACAATTCGAACTGGGTATTTCAATCGACGTATTGAATTGATTGTTGTGTTTAACGTATACGACAATATAAATACGAAAAAAAGATATCTTGTAATTTTATAAAGTAGTATTTATCACCGAGCACGTTAACACACCACTTCATATAAAGTATTGTTTAAGATTTATCATGCTCGCTTTACAACATATATAAATAAAAACCTCTTCTACGGAAGGAATTCTAAAAAACAAGAAACTATCCACATACTGTAAAAGAAAACAACAACAAAAACAATTAAAACAGCCGACGATCGCTCAACAAAAAGAAACCAACATCACCAACACCAAACGACGACGAGACATCAAACTTTCGGTGCACTATTATTGGCGCGCGGAGGTACGCGCGGCCGAGCGGCGTCACTCGCTCATCACTCACCCGATAAAGTTTTTAATGAAGCAATAGACCGCGAAGAGCGCGGCGTCGCTCAGCCCCTGGTCGGGGTTGATGCGCGGCAGCGGCAGCTCGGGCGCGGCGTCGTGCGGCCTCACCGCGTTCATCGCGTGCGCGGCGGCGCGCTGCCTGCCGCTGGTGCGGCGGCGGCGGCGGCGGCGCGTGCGGTACGACGGCGGCGGCCTCGGGGCGCCCTCAGCGCATCCCAGCTGGCGACGGCCGCGTGCCTGCCGCCGCCCGCCGCAGGGCGCCGCGGCGACTATCGATCGTCGCTACGGTATACGCGCCTGCGCGGACCGCCCGCTCACACGTCCAGCATGAGGAACGCGAGGTACACGACGAGGAAGAACCACGGGCAGAATAGGTACATGCATACGGACATCGTGCGCGGGGGGGAGCGTTGTGACGTCACGGGCGACGTTGAGAGCTATTCGGTGCCGGCTGCGGTTCGGTGTTGTGCCTGTGGTGGCGCGTGCGTCTGTCGGCGCGGCGGCACAGTGACTGGACGCGCTCGCGCCGCGTGCTCTACGCCCGCCCGGCCCGGCGTCCGCTCACCGCACCACCTATGATGCCCCGTACAAGCGGCACAAGGTGTACACACACGCAGCCAGAACTCCTTCGTTAGCATGCAGAGGACGCGACAACTGTAAAACCTCACTTGAACCAAGCAAAAAACTCTCCTTGTGATAATCCTTTAGACTGCATCGTCATTCGAAAGTATGTTGGTTTCGACCACGTGTGGTTTCGGAAAATGCTATATTATTGTAGCGAAGCATATAAACAACACATAAAATAAATGCAACATATGCCACATATTGCTCCGTTCCTGGTTCTTGAAAGAAATATCTCGTCACATAAATACAAAATCGTATTATGTCACTTTTTAAAATCTATAATAAATCGATTCAGCTGATAACGGAGACCTTGGCGAATTGAATTAGATTTCATATCATATTAATCGCGGACAAACTTTTCACAAATTATCCGATTCATATTTGGTAATCGTAAAGAGATAACGCTCAAAACATGTAGCAGGAAGTAGTGAATGTCCACATGGAAACCGATCCCCAAATAGTGCGGGGCCACGGTCAACGTCCGCGCCGCGGGGCTGTGGACGGATCGTTCCGTGAAGTGGTCGCGAGATACCAAAGAAAAAAAATACCAATACCCACACCATCGGCCACGAAGCGAGTGGCGACGTGACGCAAAACGCTTTTTGCCATCTCCATAAGCGATGGGCGTCGGTACTACACGTCTAACGAACCCGACTAGAGGCCGCCAAGAAAGAGCTGCGGACGACATATCGCGTTACGAGCAGCGGGTGCGTTGATCCCAACTCTGCCACTGTATGGTGCCCGTTTACATCGCTTCTCCAATTACCGTAGTTTTTATTTAAGCGATGAATCGGTCATTTTATGTTGACGCTCCTCGAAATTACCGCGTGGCACGCAGGCAACGTTCCATTAATCATTGCCAAATCCTTGTGATGGACTACACTATGTAAGCCTGTTCGTTCGAAGATATTATAATAAAAGTAGCAATTAAAATGTGAATGATTGTACAGCAGTCAGGCGAACCATTCGTGCATTTCTTTAAAGAGAAGCAATAAGAGGATAAATGTGGCCACAAACAATTATATCGTAAAATAAGTGTTAATTGAAAAATTGCACCAGCGAAGCGTAATTCGTAGAAAACTCCAGACTTCCCTGATGGAGTCCTGTTTCGCTTCTCGGAACAAGTTCAAACAAACGGAGCGACATGTTGGTCGGTGCAATTAATAGATGCGGGCGATACAGTTACATCAAACGTCGCTATTTTTCACAAGAAATCAATTTATAACTGATATCAATTTATGTACGGTACTTATAATGTTAGTTACGAATATTACATATTTTATTATAAAAAGGTCTAAAGGAAACCTTTATTAAACTCGTGGAAAATATTATTTCTAGTAAACCTATCCCTTAATCGATAACTGCTACTTATTACTCATTACACCTGTTTATTTGTTTTAATTATTAATTACATGTAGAAAAATACAAAACAGTGATGACGTCGAGTGCAAAACACTCGACGAGAGGATGCCACGCATTCCTTTGAAAACACAGACTGTGTTTTTTTTGTAAAACCTGTACACTTGGAGCAGTGAAAAAAAAAAGGTAGTCGGCCATTAGTAAGACAAGGATGCGCTATTCTAATACACGGTCTTCGTACGGCTTTCATATTTGAAGTGTTCGCGTACGATGTACGTAGATCTATTAGGTAACGACTTACCAGCAAATACATACGAGTACTTAAATCACACACTTTATTCTGTTCGGAGGCGATAAACGATATTACGTTCACAACTTTTTTTTAAATAATCCTAAGTTCTTTTCGGCATTGATAAGAACAAAAATCGCTTTATTGTCAGATGCTCGACGACAGACTTAGGTTCAACCTAAGTGTGTATCGAAGAACCTAATAGATTGAAATAAATTAATCGTATTGTTTTTATTTCTCCATGGGAGTAAAATGTGGCTACTGAATAAGTTCCCAACAACTGTTGGATTGGATTTGCGTTGCCAATATTTTACAGAATTTAGCAACAGTTTAACATAATTATGTCCGAACATGACTTGACTTATTATGTTTTCATATTGTGGTTTACTGCGGTAGAGCCACGTAACAGTACCACAACCTCACAGAAGACCGGCGTGAAGTGGAAGTGTATAACACTTCTGCATTTCGTCTGGTGAGTATCCGAGGCCCACTCACGAAAGATGGCAACACATTCCTATATTGGGTGGTGCAAGCGTCTATGGGTGACGGTTATCGCTTAACATCAGGTGAACCGCCAGCTCAGTGAGGCCGAGACTAAATAGCAGCGTGTGCCTCCATTGAGACAGCAGAAACTGGCGCCTAATTCTACTATAGTAAAACACGCGAAGTTACGAGTTGTAGAGTGCAATGCGAAATTACAATTGACAACATCGATCGATCACGCGAAGGTACTCTAGACACGAGGCTCACGTGTGAGATGCGGCGGGAATTGTGCATTCGTACGTGTAACGCTATCGCGATTCGGTGTACACTCGCGGTAGGAAATCACCGTGCCCCGCCCCATTCGCAACCGGCAGCATGGTGTCTGCTATAGCTAGCGTGCATCGCGACGTTGACGCAACCCGACCCAGTTTCTATGAAAACGACCGCCTTCCGACACTGGGCAATAGGTAAATATTTGTTTCCGTCGGTTTATTGAGTTATTTAAGACGAAAGTCGATATCGTTTGAAGCAAAATGAGAAGCATTTATGAAATAAAATAGTTGATTCTCGCATAGGACAAACGAAGACCTCAGAACTAATCCTTTACACGTAATCCGATCAATATGTTCATTTATAACCATACAATACACGAAATGTAAATCAATAATAAGTTTGAGATGATATGTATAATTCAGCGGTTTACAAAGTTAGCTGTATTGAAATCCTAATTGAGGATACCCATCATAACTGACCATTAAAATCAGAGATTAGCAAAAAAAAAGGACATTAAATGAAAGCCTGGCTGGAAAGAAAATAAAAAGTAACAAAATGGTTCTTGGCTCCATTCGTCCAGTATGTCACTAGAATAGAGGTGGTGCGTGTAACCTCCAACACCGGTTTACGCAATCTCGGGCCTAAAGGCCCATTTACATGATGCCAGTTTCTTGCCTGTTGTATACAATTAAATTGAAGCAATAAATGAGTTGCATGGTCTAAACAACAAATGGTCTAAACAATTATTGCGCGCAATTTATTGCATTCAATTATTGCTCTTGTATGTTCAAGAAAATGGCATCGTGTAAATGGGCCTTAACTCCTACCCGCCGACGGCCGTCGCATATACCATATACGCGCAGCGAAGTTGCATCTATCTATCGAGCGGAGTGATACGCGTGGCGCAAGCTACCATCATTACCCTCGCCAGGAGCCGCCGGCGATATTCAATTGCCGCAACACGGACCAGTACTGTGTGCCAATCGCAACAGTCCCGCTGTTTTCTCAGTGAGATATCGTGGAAACTTAGTCTATTTCGAAGCCGAGCAGCACGTGCAGAAAGACTGCATCAAGAATAAACAAGAAAATATTAACGACTGCATTTGGTTAACGATTGTTAATTTACCATCGTTTAAACTTTGATACCGATTTCACCGTGATAAATTTTGATTGTTTAACTCACGTTCCAGAAAGAAACCGTTGAAAAGTTTTATTCGTCTTGTTAATTTCGCCTAAAAAGAGAAATTATAATGCATGTTTACTAGTTGAAAATTTCGCATAAATGTTTTGTTTCGTACAAGTACACGAGGAAAGGCGATTTAATACGCAGTAGTAAATGTGCTGAACATGATGCGAGCTGGTGTTAGATTGCAAAGCTGTTTGTTCTCTGTGTTTCAACCAGCCGTTGGTTGTAGGCTGCCTAGGAATGCGCTAAGTGTGCAAGATTTCTGCAAGTGTACAAAGAATTCTGCAAGTGTACACACGACATTGGTCGCCGCCAGGTGTCATATTACACGGCTTTTAAGCAGCAATGGTTTTGTCTATAATTTGGATGACGAACAGAAACACCGTTGAATTTGACTCCAACGAAGTTTACAAAGAAATTACATTAACAACGCTTCGAGCTAGCATAGATACGTCAGGATTGAGTGACAGCTAAATAATGGCCGTAAGCGATGGAAACACACTTAGTAATTTCAAGCTAATTACCGTATTTAGAAGTGCTTTACCGACAACATAATTATGAACTCTGTAATTTTATCATTTCTCATCACAATTCAGTCTTATTTCAGTCAATCGGTTATTTCAAATCAGTCAGTTAATATATTGAGAAACTTTAATATTATGAATAATCCAAAAAACTGCAGCTCGAACAGCAAACAATCCTCACATGGCGTTGTTTTACGTAAACAAAGAGATTTTAGTTACATTTCAAGTGCAATGGCAGTTTCTTCAAGTGCGAAGTGACGAAATCGGCAAAACAAACATCTGGAGAACATTGTAAGATGCCAAGAGAGATGACTGGTGTTGGCATAAATGTTGGCTTCAATATCATCTTCTTGAAGCCAACATTTGGTATAACAGGAGATAATGCACGCTTGAAACTACTGAGGCCGATTCTTTACAATCATTTCAGATACAATGACAATGAATTCGTGTGCTGTGGCCAATTAACAACTATTGCTGTCGCACTGATGGACCGTTTCCACCGAGACAGCACCTCACAGAAAATGAGCATAAAGCAGAATTTTTTTCACATTTGCGTTTCAGCCGCGAGGTTACCGGGGCTTATTTAAGAGTTGACATCGCTAGTTCAAAGCCACAGGCCTTGTTTCTGTTCATAGGTGGCAACACCAAGCGAATCTTGGTATCCAACTTCTCCCGCCAAAAAATTAAATAACGTTCTTAACTATTTACATGTGGCAATAGATAGAAATTGTGCACGCAACGAATGCGTCGCACAATTGCCTTGTGAATTCTCGCGGGAAACCGTGCGCTGTCCGTGGGCGATTCTCTCACGCCAATGTTTATCTTGAGTTGGTAATTA